TCCGACCCGCTACGTCTAGAGAGCGAGCGCGCGCGGGGTACACCGATATCGAGATCGATAAGGTGTATCCGGTGACGTCTCCGCTCCTTCGAGAGTTCCCCCTCCTCCTAACCCCTCTTCCCGCCACCCCCCCGCCCCGAATGGTTCTATATCTTCTCGATCTCCGTGCGCGTTCGAAATATTTTCGTAACGCCACCGTTTTCTCGATAACGACGAGGCGATTCCCGACGTTTCCTACCGTCTCCTCCCCTGTCCTCTACCTCTCGCGTGCTACCCAATTTATCGATAAACACCGGCTGCTGCCACGCGATATACACATGTATGTATGTGTATATATGTATATGTATAGATAAAAAAAACATATAGGGACATGGGACCAAACGTACAGGAAGCACTGTGCGATTCTGTATCTCATCGAGTACTATCAACAAATCGTTGTTACTACAAGTACAGTAAAGCCCTATGAGAGTTTGAAACTCGGAACCGCTACAAAACTTTCATCGCCAATCGTTTCAACAGCTCACAAATATAGTTTTTGTCCGAAGCCTCGGGAACAAAGCCGGGGGGGGGGGGATATATATGATGCGCTTGACAGGTTCCACGGCCTCCCCTTCAGTAGTGGAAATGAAGTACACACTTTCACGAGGAACTTCCTAATCCAACTCTCATGAAGCCTTTACTGTACCTAGCGTATACAACAAGATTCCTATCTACCAGGATCGTGAATCGACGACGGTTATATCGATCCCTCTCCCGAACCCTCGGGTACACCACCATTTACAAAATCGATACCTACAGGGAACAGAGGATATCCCCCGTTACGTGTGAAACGCTGCGCGGAAACGAGCTAGCATCGCGGCTCGTTCCCCTTTAAACACGCGCGCGCGTTCGGTTACAAACCGGGAGCCCGATTATTTCGGGGTACGATTATTTCTGGAACGACCGAAAAATCCGTAGCATTCGTGGCATTCGTTCGCGCGAGCGGCGTCACCGTGGGGGCCGCAGGTAATATAACGTCGTAGTCGTCGTCGTAGTGGCTCGTCGTCGTTAGCAGTTGTCGTCGTTCCGGTAAAGTGGGACTCAGAGAAGGCCAAAGGCTCTGGCGCTCGCGACCGACCAACCGAACGAGCGATATTTATCGGCACCCAAGGTAGGGGCGAGACTCTCCATCCTTCGCTGGCTGGCTGGACACGTCCGTTCGTTCGCTCGCGCGAAAAAAGAAATCGACGTTATATAGATGCCGGTCGCGACTGGTGTCCGCGGGTATTTACGACGGTAAATACGCCGGTCGCCACCGACGCCGTCGCCCAACGGCCTGGTAAATTTATCCGCGAATTACCAACAGCGGCGGCGGCGTTCCTTACTCCGTAACTTCGTGCCGCCGCGGGGCTACGTTCGCCTCGCGTACGGATTTTAGGCCGCGCTCATAAATCCGACTTTCCCCCTTGGGGCCGTCGCGCGAGGCTGTCGGAGGGGAGAGGGGAGGGGGGGGGAGGAAGGGTCGGTTTAAGGGTTTTGCCACGGGTTCGCCCTACCCCCCAACCTTTCTCATCCTCCAGGTTCTCTATATTTCAGAGGAAGAGAGACAGAGCACAGCTTGGAAAAACGGCTAGCTTCGGAGAGGGAAAGATCCCGTAGTCGCGGGGAAATTAAACGAGCGTTCGGGTACGCGCGAAAAAATCGCGTCGCTCGTAAATTTCGACGACCCCGTCGTCTGCTCTCATCCTTCTTCCTCCGTTTCCCACCTAGTTTGCGCTCTTTCTCATACACTCTATCACTATCTTTCTCTCTCTCGCTCGTTGCCGCCCCTCTTTTCCGTCGTCGTCACGGTCGCGAACCGGAAACTCGGACACTAAACATCTCTGGAACTCGGTAACAGAGGACAAAGAAATATATACATATATATGTACGAAAGAAGTCTGGGCGCCGTTGGGAAGAAGGAACGCGCGCGACTCGCGAAACTTTCGAAGGGGACATTACGTATGTATAGAGGGGAGGGAGGTTGTGGCTCACGGTGTCACCTTCGTAAGAACACTGGGTAGCCCCCGACGCGGTGGTAGGCGACGTCGACGTCGTTCCCCGTCGAGGAACGACGATGGTTCGAGGGCCGAGAGGGTCCCTGGACTCTGAAGAGGGGTTTTTTTTTTAGTGGATAAGGGTGCGCGGAGGGGCAAAGAACAAGGGGAAGAGAAGCGCGGTTCGACTTCGTTTATATATATATATATATATATATATATATACGAAGGGAAGAATCCGAGGGGGACAGGAACGGCGGAAAAGGACGAGGGGCACCCCAGAGGGGAGGGGTCAGGAATGGACGATAGGTAGCGCACACCACCGTAGAACGACGAGCCGCGGGGTTAGGGAGGCAAGACGAAGCAGGACACCGAAGGAAAAGCAAGACGCGCGACGACGCGCCGCGCGCGGCATGGCAAAGCATGGCAAGGCGAGGCGCAAGCTGGGCGGCTGCGACGGAGGATGAGAGAGGGAGGGGGGAGGGCCGAATGGCGCGGTGCCGCATGGTGAGGGGAAGTCCGGGTAGAGGGGCTAAGCGGAGGGGGCGAGAGAGAGAGAGAGAAGACGGCGTCGCGAGTCCGCGGAAACCGGCGGCGACGGCGACCACCGTCGCAGTTGAGCGTCGCGATTCGTCGCGAGAGCATCGTGCGTTGGTAGTTCGCGCCCCGCCGTGTAATACCACCGTGCACACATCAACGACAGAACAGTTAGCTGCGAGGCGTAGAACCGGGCGGATCAACTGATCGGTGATCAGGTTCTATAGTCGAGAAGGGAAGCAAGGTGAGCGACGCGACGCGCGCCCCGAAAACCAGTAAACGCGGCGCGACACAGCAGACCGACCGACCACGCACACACCGGCGGTTCAGTCGAGGTCGATCCACCGTCAGGTGAGGATCGCCGGTGTCACGGTCTTAACTGTACCATATATACTCGCAGTACACGACATCTATTAAAACGCGATCGATTGCCGATATATATACATCGCGGGCGTGTGTGTATACTACGTGAGTGCTCTGTGTGTCCTGTTTTGTGTATATAGATGTACACATGTTATCATCGCTCATCGTACGAACTCGCGCGACGTTTATACGTTTTTAAAACCATACCGCCGACTATCACTAGCACCACGTCAAGTCGAGTAATTGTTTCTCTCAGTGAGGAAACGAAGAAAGTGAAATAATCGAAGTGATAAATTGATGAGTGGCCCCTCTTTGCTGGTTGTTGTGCCCCATCGATTTCACGATCGATTTTGTTGTTGCTTCCCGGGTGACATGAAACGGGATATCGAACGATACTACGATTCTTTGGTGTGGTTTTCATGAATTCGAGATCGGAATTTTCGCTACGATTACGGACCAAGTAGCACACCGTTGAGCATCGAGGAAGAAAGAAGAGATTCACGGGAAAGTGCGTTAACAAAATTTGTTGGACGGTGTTTTCCCCTTCCCACGGTATTGGTGCGTGTAGACGGGTGCTGCTGGCGTTTGTCCTTGACGCTTGTCCTTTCGTGGAGACTGTGCGTGCTTTTTTTTCTGTTGCTCTCTCGGCCTGGCAACGTCTCTTTTCGGTTGGCGTATCTCTGTCGCTGGCTCGGGTGCCACTGAAGTAGGACAAACGAGAAGAACCGAGGGGAACACTAACTGACCGGAACAAGCAAGAAAACCGAGAAGACCGAGGCATCATCGAAAACTGAAGAGAGCGAGCCGCACGACCACGCGAATAACGCGACGGCGAAAACCGATCTGACTGGGGAAGCCGGGTACGACCTCTCCGCTGGAGCGTGTGTGTCTAGCCCCATCTTTGTTTCTCACGATTCCATCTTTCGTCCCGTCCTCGTTTCTACCAGTCGGCGGCGGCTGCTATTCCTCGTGGTACAGCAATAATATCGTTTCCCGCGCGGACTGCGGATTGGCTGATGTGCCCACGAACGAAGAGCAGAGCAGCGAAGCAACGTGCCCCGTTTTACTCGCGCTAGCGCCGAGGACGCATACAGAGAAGTGAGAGAGAAAGAGGTGGAGTACGCCAGAGTGGTAAAGCGTGACGGCCGACGAAGAGAGCAAGAGCCAGCAAGGAGAGGGGAGAGTGGAGGGCGGCAGCAGACAGAGGACGAGAAGGGGAACCGCCCGACCGAGTTGTTTCATTCATAAAAAAGTTCTTTATTACTCTCTGTGAGCGCATGTGCTATTCCACGGAGGAGGACCTCCCCCGACCGGCGTAACCACGTTTACACACGGTATTATTTACTACTGCGCGAGATACGAATCGCTACCACACACCGTGGCAACGTTACGGCGTGCGGATCTGCTCTCTGTTACCCATCGGCCTCTATCGTGTTACCGTTGCCATTTGTGATCGTCGCACGACACGCGTGTGTATATGTGTTCTCTGTCTCTCGTCGACGTTGTGACCATCGACGCGGATCTTTAATTAAGGAACACATTCTAACATCGACGATCATCATCGGATCGACGAAAGCCGTTGTGTCGTACACCATCGGACATCGTGAGAAGAGGAGCAACCGAGCCGGTGTGTGTGTGTGTGGGGTTCTCGAGTTCGACCTCTCGGCCGTTTCTTTATCGAGCAACCGAGTGTGTGTGTGTCGTCCGTCGTGCCCCCTCGACGTCGTCGTCGTCTCTTGCGGACGAGCAATTGGAATTCCTCGCGTGTCCACACGCAGGCCCGATATAGTCGGATGGCGCGATCTGGAACGTGAACGTCGATCGATCGCCTTCTCGCGCGCGTCACAAGACCGCGACCGTTCGAGGCTCTTGGTGACGATTCCGCGCGCGCGGCTGACACACGCTCTTGAGGACGCTAGCGTGAACAACAGGAGAGGAAAATCACGGTGGAGTGTGTGACCTATCTGTGTGCGCGCGGTACTGTGCCCCCCTGTGTGTTCTCTCGTGTGTGAACAAAGAGACTGAGAAAGTATAGAGGGGTAGAATAAAAAAAAACGGGAGTATCATCGATTTTCGGTAGTGTCTGTCCGCGAGTGGAAAGATTCACGTGGAAAATTTCGAATCGCGCCGCCCGGTGGTGGCGAGAAACACGAAGAAGAAAAACCAAAAAACGAAATCGTTCAACCTGGATCTACGAACGACGAATCTGGACGTATACGCGGACGATCCCGATCGGTTGTTGGACGGTCGCGATAACAAGTCGCGTACCAGGGACCGCCGAGCCACGAAAATAGATCCGAAAATCGTGGTCGACGAGGGCGGCAGCATCGTGACGGCCACGGAGGACGGGATTTACGAGGATCGTTTGCGAGAATCCGCCGTCGGCGGGAAGGACAGTCGTCTCTCCGCGATGAGGGGCGAGTCGGCGCGACCCGGGAAGCGCCCTTTAAGGGCGCTCTCCGCATCCGAGAAGATGGACGCGATACAGAGGGTTCACGAGGGCGAGAGCAAGGCATCGGTGGCGCGTGATATCGGTGTACCGGAATCGACGTTACGCGGTTGGTGTAAATCCGAGCACAAGATTCGCGGTATGGCCAGGAACTCGTCGACGCCGGACAGCGAAGCACACTCGCCCGCTTCGTCATCAGGGGCGAACGTGACCGGTGGTGGTGCTGGTAATCTAGTGGGTGGTTCGGCGAATCTGTCGAGCGAGGACGAGGGACCGTGCGCGAAGAAATCGAAGCTGGATCAACAGACATCGGTGGTAACCGGGGCGGGCACGTCGTTCATCGGCACCAATGATGTGTGCACGGACACGGATGTGGGCAAGGACAACAGCAAACAACAGCCGAAGATCGATTACGTGGGACTGATGACAAGTATGGCGGGCATGAGACCGGAGAACAGTTCGTTGTTGCTCCAACAGCTGGGCCTATTGTCCGGCGCCACTGGCACCCTCGCCAAGAATCTCTTGAGCATGTCACCGGCGTTGTCGCACGGCAGCACGGTCGGTCTGGTGGAGAACGGTTTACAGTACACGAAGAGCAGCACCGGGAACCTGGTGAACGCGTCGAACACACTGAACGGCGGTGGTAACAGCAAAAGGCACACGATCTCCGCGATCGCGCCCGCGCAAATGGACTCTGTGGTCGCGAAATCGTGCACGCGAAAGAGCCTGCCACCTGCCGCGGAAGCACCCTCGACACCGGTACCAGCGTCCCCGCGAAAGACCAACGAGAACACCGGTATACAACGCACCACGAAACCGAAGAAGGACGGGAACGTGAGCAGCGGCGGCGGCGGTGGTGGTGGCGGTAATACCAACAAAAAGGTGGACGAAGCTCTTTGGTTATGGTTGACGCAGCAGCAACAGCTGCTCGGTCAACAGTCGGCCAGCTTCAATCCAAGCATCAATCAGCAGGACGGCTCGTGGTTCTGGCAATGGTACAAGCAGTGCAGCTTCCCCCTGATGACGCCCACGCCGACCCAACTGACGCCCAGCCTGGTCGCCAAGAAATCGCCGAGCAAGGCGAGGGCGATGCTCGACAATGTTCTTTGTCACAACAACAACAACAACGAGAACGTGAAACGCAGCCTGAACATGGACGTGGTGGACGAGGAGGAGATCGACGCGACGGCTGGCGGTGACGTGCCCAGCAGCACCGAGGAGGCGATCGAGCACGGGGAGAAGTTCTTCAAATGGTTGGACAAATGCTCCGATCCGGCGGTCACCAGGCTCCAGATTATACAGTTCAGATACCTATTGGACAATCTGAAGGCGTGTAGGAAGAAGACGTCCTCTAGCTCGAAACAAAGCAGAAAGTAGGCGAGAGAGAGAGAGAGAGAGAGAGAGAGAGAGAGAGAGAGAGAGAGAGCTCTGTGATGCTAAATATATATCTTAGAAAGAGTGGTGTCTGTGTGTGCGTGCGTTTCAGCGCACGGCAAACGCCCGAGAAACACCGGATTGAAACGAGTACAGGTAGAAAGAAAGAAGTAGAGACCAGAAATCGAGCAGTTCTTTTTTTTCTCGAACCAACACGATACCACACGGTCACGATCTCCTTTTCGTTGAACTCTTCGTCCATTGGAACGACACCCCCCCCCCCAGGTTTCGGTTTTTAATTCTAAGGTTCACGTCGTATGTTCGTTTTCCTTTGAATTTATAATTCGCGTGCCGTGTTTGTGTGCGCGGCCGAAAGAGAGAGAGAAAATACGAACGGATTAATCGTTTATGTCGTTATCATTTCATCCAACTTCGTTTGTGTACGAGTCGTAATTTTCAAAATCGTTTTCTTTCTCTCATCAATTACGCCCCCCTCCCCGCGACCTTACCCCGTTCCCTTCTTTTTTTTCTTCTTTGAGTTACCGTTAGGAGTCGGGCTGAATCAAAATATAGAGAGATGGGTCGTAACGATCTGTTGCTTGTCTAAAGCTTTTGTACATAAGAGGATATACCAAATTCGTGAATGGACTGTTGTAATTATATTAAAAAGTTAAGGTGTCCGTAGGAGAGGTAATTATTAATATCGAACACAACGTTATCATTCGTTTAGCGTATAAAGTGCGTGTGTGATTGGTGCGCGCGCGCGCGCGCGTGAGCTCGACCCTGGAAAGAACTTCCCTTGCCGATGATCGGACATATAAAACTAGAATGTGGATCGTTCGACCGAGGAAACTGTTTTTAGACTTTTCGTCTCGAGGACTATACATACATATATAAATATATATATATATACACGTATATGTTACGTTGTTTACACTGATATGACACCGGTGTGTGTGTGTGTGTGTGTCTGTGCGCGTGCGCGCGCGCGCGTGTATATGGTGGGAAGTCGAAAACCGGAAATCGGTATCGCGCAAAACTGCACGTTATTCCGCGGTCGGGGCATGCCTCTTTTTTTGTTTTCTTTTTCTCGATTTAGTTACGTCTAATTTACTCGGTTTAATTATTCGCGCGAATATATTGAAATGAAGAGAAACAAAAAAAATGGCTTCACGATGTTCAATTGTGGACTGCGCTTTTCCCAAACAGTTCTACCTCTCGTGTTCTGTTAGCGAGTTATTTACGTACGGTAAATAAAACGTAAGATTGTGTGTATGATGTGTGCGTGAACGAATCTGTTTGAAAAGTATGGGTGAAGTGTGTGTGCGTACACGCGACTCGCACGAAACTAAATGGTCCAAAAGAAAAAATAACTGAGGAACACAACAAAAAATCCGATTAAACGACAAGAACCGCGATGTTTGTTATATCGATGAGAAATTATATATATTATATATAATATTTAAGGACCTTCGTCGCTTAGCTTTACGAGGATATAAGACGTTATTCGAATCTAGCGTTATACACACGTTTTACGATGACTACTTACCATGCTGAGTGGTTTGTCAAGCGGCACGTATTCGATGTAGTCGCTGACGAATTTTCCGCACCCCTGCCACGTGTACAGTTCCGGATATGGCAGCGTACTTCGTCTGATAGCCGTAGACACGAATTTCTGCACACGAGAAAGCGATAATAACTACAAAGAACACCATACCGCTGCCCTCCCTCTTTTCTTGTCTCGCGATTCTTTTTTGTTTTTCTTACTCTTTAATGGTGCTTTGCTACTGTAAGATTCGCCTCCGCCTACGTTCCCCTGTGTGCCTCTGTCAACTATTTATTTATCTTTGCCTTCTTTTACCTCTACGTCGTCGCGGAACAAATCCATTTACTGTTCGAACATCGTCAACGATCGGACCGATCGATCACGAACATCTTTGACCATCGTCGAAGCATTTACGAGCATTATTATTACTTTTTTTGTTTTGTTTCGTTGTCATTTTCTCGTTCCGTTTGTACAGAAATCAATGAACCGTTTCGCCAACGTGAAAACGGGTCGTGTCGTGTTCCTATCGTGCTCGAACGTGTCGGTATTTATATATGTATGTTACATACTTCGAATGGGAAAACCTGCGAATCTTACGGTCTAGCAAAGCGTATTTATATAAACGGAACAAAACCGAATAACATACAAAACACACAACAGAAAACCAAAGTGAAAAGAGGCGCTGTCGAGGGTTTTTTTTTTTGACAGCGCGTGTAAATAAGACTGTGACCGTGCACTTGCACGCGAAGTGCATACCATGTATTGTAGAACGTTTGAAGCATGTACGAATAAATGTATAGCGAAGTTTATTTTTATTATTTAGATCGTAGAAGAGACGGTTCGAGTGTATTTAGAAAGATTCCTATTACGCAGTCGTAATTTCCATTAGTTGAATTAAAGAGAGGAGAGGAAGGATTGATGAACGACGACAACGGAGAGAACTTAGAATCTATGGTTTGCAAGACGACATTCCTCGTTACCTTTTTTAAAACGATAAAACACAGAAAGAGACACATGCATACCTTGGAGGACGAATAAAACAGAGAACGACTCAGAAAAATTTTTAATGCTAATATCGATATACTTTTAATTTATAAACACGTTTTAATTTTTATACGAGAGATAAAATACTATGCCTTTGTACAATGAGTCGAAAACTATTTATCATGAGAATACACCGAAGAAAAGAAATAAAACACGAACGTATTCGCATACTTCTTGACACTTATTCCTTTTTACCGACACGAACGATACGAGGAATCGGGGGGGAGTAACGAGAAATGAAGCTTTCTTCACCGATTCCTGTATAAATATGTATATGCATAGAAGGAAAAAGCGAAGTTTAGTTCTCGCTCCGTGAATCGAACGACGGACGAAATTCTGTGCTGGATAGTTTTATTTTCGAATTCGTTAAAATTTTTCAGTTGATTCTTTACTTTTGGTTTATACACAGGTTATGTTTCTTACCTCGATAAGGAGGAAAGGTGAACGTCGAAGCTCGTGTTTGTACAATATGCGGAAAAAATGTGTAAATATATATCCAATGTTAGGTACAAAAATTGGAGAGTCTCTTGAACCGTTGACAAACAATATATTTGAACGAGTTTAAAAGTACGCGAACAAGTTTCCACACGCGCGTTAACACTTCGTTCGCCACCTTGAACTATTTGAAAAATGACCACAGTGGAGCCAACTTCACGCGATACCCGGTGGCAGAAATGAAAAACGGTGGCAACGAATTCGAACGCCTGACCCTCGATTGTTCGTAATTGTTAATAAAATCGAAAATTTCTATGCGCTTTTTTTAGGATGTGGAGAGGCTTCGACTTCGCGAGAAAAAACGGGGCCGTATAAGTTAAAAAAGTAAAAGAAAAAGCGACTCCTGCAGTTGATTAGTGAATTTAAGTAGTACACGAAAGAAACGATAAATCGAACTAATGTCCGAGTCTATCGATTAATATCTCTAATTTAATATTTAAAAATTTAATTTTAAAGAAACGCAAGAAATAAATAAAAAGTATTATTTAAACTGACCTTGACGTTTTCAAATAGCGTACGTACATATCACCATCATCCAAACTCTTTTTCTTTAATTTTTCGATTTAATAACGCGAATCGTCTCGTGCATGTTACACGTCCGTTGAGATAATATTGCGGAACGCGTGGACACACGGAACATAGGAAATGGACCTTTCACGGCTGAACTCTTACTACATCGATTCGCTATTTAGCAGTGGTTTGTGTTTAACTTACTTGCACACCGCATTCGTTCTTGCACACAAGCAGAAGCGGTTTTCGATCCGGATATTTCACGTGAAATTGTCGTCGAAAGTTTTCGGCATACCACGCGAGCACCTTCTCTTTGCCGCTGACGGTGCAGTAACTTTTCGGAAGTGTCTTCAGGTATAGATCATTTCTCAAGTCGACTTCTGGCCAGCATAATTTGATCAAACCGAGTTCTTGTTGCGTTTTTCTTATGAGTTCGGGCGTAATCCCAATGCGATCTTTCGCGTCTTTTAGCAATTCGTGCGACACCTGTTCGTCTATTTCCGTGAGGGTTGTTTGACTATCGTAACTTTCGAATTCACCTTCTTCGACGTTGTCGGACATGTTCGATCAAGAAATTTACGTGGGTAACTCCGAACGAGAAGAAATTAACGGTTGCTGCTTCGTTTCATTCCACTGACCGTCAGTGTTTATCTTCACTTGGTTAAGTGTCAAGATTTAAATCGAAACACTTCAATGAATGGTTATTTGTTGTCATGGTTATTTGATATCACAAATATTGTCTAGAGGGAAGCACAAGCTGGACGAATCAATCAGTAGTGCTTCAAGTTCTGTTTGATCATTATGTTGTGCAGACAACTGTCAGATGCGATTAAATGCCGAACATAACTTTCAGACGCATTATCTTAACGGATGACAATGCTAATTGGAAAATAACAAACGTAACTTTAGTAAAATTGTTTAACAAAACGGGAGATAATGCACAAACTGTCAACTGCTTTCTGTAGTTTCCGTTGATAAACCAAGATGGCGCCATTATCAGGATTTCCTATTACCGACACCTTTCGAGGGGAATGTAAATTACAAAAGCACACTGACGGTTAACAAAGTAAGTGCTCTGTTTATATACAACCACAATGCTAGATAATGGTATGAAATGTACTATTTTAACGAAATAATGAAGAAACACATATGTGAAATTATTTATTGTATTCCCTGAGTCGATTACGTTCATTAACGATTCATATTTGCGTTGTTTCCATGAAAAAAAACTTCAACGGGAACATTTGCATGTTTACCGAATTATTAACGAATAAGCAAACAAGTTGTTTTTAAATTTACACTGAAAGTAGCACGCCGTAATAGGCGTAATGATTTTATTAATAAAAATCTTTAGATACATATCACTGGTATAAAACATACGCATCATCGGAACAAAAATACATACAAGCTGCGAGAATAACGTTTCACGATGGTATATATTTTTATTTATAAACTATAAATATAACAAATCGGTTTGATCTCTTCATAATATGTATATGTATGTATATATAAAACAAAAAACCAATGGAACTGAAACATGTTAGTTACACGAATATGTTGCATCGTTTGGTTTGGATGATCTTGCAAAGTCTCTTAATAAAATTTATGCGATTAGGTCTAAGATACTTTACGTTTGCACGCGACATGTCAATTGACTTTCTCGTATTGTATGTTTCTTGTTTCGAAGAAATTTACGCCATTTCTTTGTAAGTTCACGTCATGGATTCAATATGTTACAGTGAAGTCGCCTCGAAAGACAACTTTGCCCATCACCGACAGCGCAATCTCAATTCGCGTCGTTTGAATCTTGCCGCCATTTCTGAGCCGCCTCTCGTCTTGCGTCGGGCACTAATTGCGACTGCATACCGCCTAAAACATTACTAGTGGCTTCGGTAGCCAGAATTATTGGCTTTACGACTGTCGGAGGTATCTGCCGTAAAACACCACCCACAGCACCAGAAACTCCTTTCTGCTCGTGTTCTTCGCTAGCCACACGCACTAACTGATTCGCGGTTTCCCCCAAACCCTAAAAAAAATACCTTTAACATTAGAAAACTAATTTGAACACGTGGCAGTCCCGTGCACAGAAGAGAACGTAATACATTCTACGGACTAAACATGTATCAAACGATTCACCTCTTTTACGAGCATATAGGCATTAGTCATTCCTTCTCGAATGTCCAATGGCTGACTGTATCGTTTCCGACGTCCTTTCTGTCCCTTATTTTTTCGTCTGACGCTGGGTCCAGGACTGACCATATCGTAAGCCGTTTCAGCGGTGCTTTGTATAGCGTGTACCAATCTAGATGTTAATTCCAACGCTGCCATTGCGGTGGATGTGGTAAAACTGTTTGCACCTCGCTGCAAACCCCTGATGATTCTTCCATCTTTCTGGTACTGCTCAATAGGCAACCAAAACAGATCTCGTATTCCTTGAACTAACGTAGAAAAAATTGTTATATTCGATGATCTATTAGCACTAATTCTAGCATATGTATGGTAGAATGACCAAGCCGATATTTATACTTACACAACTGTACCAACGAATGCATAGGGCCTACTCCGCCCAGCAAACTTGGAAGTTGATTTTTCTTTATATCTTGCAACCACTCGGAGAGTAAAAACGTTATGAGCTTATCGAATCCCAGAAGTCCGTGTCGATGTGTCAATCTTTTCAGTCTTAATTCGGAACAATTCAGCTGCGCCAAGCCCATTAGAAGGCCCGCTAATGGCCCGTGAGTGAGATCTACACGCTTCCCATGATAATCTAATCTAACAAGGACTTCAGGGGAAAATATAACGCTCCTGTGTACACATTAGAAAAAAAAAACAAACACATCATATCAGTATGTCGCACAAGATCATAACTCTTATATCAGTTACTTTTAATTTATACTGATTTTTATATCAGGCACCATTTCTATTATTCTTACCTAAAATATATCGGCTGACAATCTTCGTGAACTTCTTGCGTCATTTTTATTTTCGTTTTACTCTCTTTGATCATTAGCTCGTCTTCCAAGAGTATTAACAAGTTCGGATCTAGAGTATCGTTCTGTGACGTGTTCGTTGGTGACGGAGCATTAGGTGCGGTATCGTTCACGCTCATGACCGGCGGATGATGCGTCGGCGTCCCTTGTTTAGATACTGGGGAAGATTGTGGATTATTAGGAGTACTCGAGATCTCAGTAGCCTGCTTCGAACCACCGCCCAATTCGTTGAAAAACTCTATCAAGAACAACAGGCTGTCCTGATCTATATTTAAACGTAACGGCAGTAGGCTTAGCTTCAGACAACATTCTTGAGCGCTTAATCTTGGGTCTGGCCTGACGTGAACCGCCTTCATAGCGAACATGTTCGCATGTGATTGTTTTGGTTTCGCTTCGCTACTATATTGGTACAAGAATTTGTTGATGTGCGAGGATGCCAGTCGGTCTCTAATCTCTATCTCGCTTACTAGCAATATTTGCCTGGCCGCCTCTGCCGTGTTCTCGGGATAAACCTCGTGTTGAAAGCGCACTTTGTTCAACTGAAGTTCCATCAGAACATCCTGTCTACGGCCTGGGCCTCCCAACGTTTGCCAGTCCGTCGTTTCTTTAGCCTTGCCTCGCGGCGAATTCGGCATGCTTCCAAAATATACCTCGTTGGGATTCGATTTATTGAAAGACACACCATCGCACCATGGAGATCTACTTCTGCAAATATTAAAATTATGTGACGGGATATAATTATGTACTGTTAAAATTTCATGTACATACCTCTCCTGGGTCGTTTCACGTGTACCATCGTTAATAGTGACATGTTTCTGGATCGGTGGCGAAGCATCGAAATCCCTTCCTCCGTACATGTGCCAAACCAGTGTCATTTCACAGAGGGTGTACCTCAAAATTGGCGCAGGGAAGTGTCTAGGCGCTTTCAGTAAATCTGTCTTACCAAGCGGGACCGCAAAGTGGTTGTCTATTATCCTCAATGACTCATGACACAGCCAACGAACTTCTGGTACCCCGTGTCTAGGCATGATCCCTGCACCAGCCTCTTCTCCTAATATACAAAAGTCCTCGTTAGGGTCATCGGCCTCCATACCGCATTCTGGTTTGGCACATTGTCCAGGACTTTTACACAATTCAGGTACTGTTCGCGGTAGTGGGTGAGACTCGTCGGGAAAGAAGAATACCTCCACTCGATTCTCGGTTACCAATATTTTACCATCTACGTTCGCAGCTGTTCCTAAATAACAACAATACGATCATACGTATTTAATATGTTATAATCCTAGTGTGTATTATTCAAAACTCACCTTTCACAGTCTCTTCCATCGCTTCCTCCATCAAACTGTTCACACGCTCCTCTTGACTTTTGCTCAACGTGTTGATACTCTCGTCTCCAAGAAGGCTTTCCTCGTCCCCGGAACTTGGTACCGTAATACTTTCAATGCTCTCTGTATTCGGTAAGAGATCTCCATCGCTGGCAAAATATGTTAACAGTTGAACAAGAGCACGGCCTGAATCTGAACAGGTTCGTACATGGAGAACATTGTTGCTCGCTCTTAGATCCACTCTGGGCGCACCACCGCACATTTTATCGTTTAATCTCAATGACAGCTCGAACAAGCCGACATCCATAACGCACACATAATCTCGCTTTAGGTCCACGATTTTTCCTACTTTGTTCGAGATAAACAAGGCAATATCTTCCGCTATGAAGCGTAACGTCGAGGTGTTTGTCTGCGCGGCAATGTTACTGGACACGCTGAAGTTGCCAAGAGTTACCATTGACCTCAGTGGCAGGTGTACCGGCCTAAAATCAGAAATACTTTTCATCAACCGTTCATCGTAAATGCGTGTTTCGATTTATTCCAGTAAAGACCTATAGTCGACCGCGCAATCCCAAAGATGTAAATGCAGCTCTGTCAATATCCCCGGTGGAGAATATCCAGCGACTGGATGATCAGTTACATCCAAGCAATCTGTCAATTGTGTGAACCAGGAGGTACCGGTGGTACACATTCTGTATCTGAGCGTCGCATTTGATATGCCTACCGCTACTCTGAAAGTCTATCATGAAACAAAGAAAAAAAGAAAATTTACAATTATAAATCTAATCAGACCAATTACATTCAATCGAAGCATACATGAAACAAACTTTTATACGATGCGTCTGATGTGCAGCCTGTATTCGAATAGCAAGCATCACCATATCTTTATCATTGTTATTCGTTCCCAATACATTCGCATCTGGCTCACTTTTATATATAGCCTTTTGACAATGTCGCGGGGTGATGCTATTAATAGGTCTCAGTGGCGGTGGTTGCGAAGGAGTGGTCATTAATCCGCAATGATCCAAAGACATTTCCTTTATCATGGCACATACGTAACCTAAATTTGAATTCCCTTTATACGCGGTTACTGAAAATATCGTCGCATCTTCCAATCGGATTATAAATTCTCCTTGTTGCCCGGGTATAACATTGCGCATCGAATCACGAACTGGGGTGAACATGCAAAGAATGCCTTGATCTATATTCAAAATTAGTGCTAGCTTGCTCTGGCCATTTCTCGACACCTTGTTCTGGTACTGCCTGTAACTTTTATCGGCCGCTGAATGAAATATACCATCCTCATCCGAGTCAGAGTCGGAATCATATTGAATTCCACTTTTACACGTGCTAAATCTAAGAGAAACATAAACATGTAAACGTAGATATATAAAAATAAATATGTTATCTTGATGAAAGTCCCATTACCTAGGATAAACAGACTCCTGCAACAAGGTAGATGCTAAATCGAGACCAACATGACCCTCCATGTACGTGCTGTATTTCGGCCTTGGTGCTGACGGTTCCCATAAAAAAAGATCGGTATTGAATCTATTATACAGCAGTTCGTAAAGGTGCTTAGATGGTATCTGGACGGAAACGCATGGAAAGTTGATTTCTAGTTGAATTCTAGAACCTCGAATGCCTTGATCCATAAACTCTAGCATTTCTTCTCGACTGCCTGGTATAATCAATTCTTCCCCTTCTCTATTAACAACATAACTTGTGTATTTTTTTATATCGAACATATAGAGTTTATACGCTGTTCTTAAAGGAATATTAAAAAATTCTATCGAATAAACCTTTGCTCCAAGTTGTCTCTGTCGCCCTGTCCATGCGGTCTTGAATGGGGTGTATCAGATTCATGGATAACACGTTTGGAACTGAACGGCGATGGTTGATGTTTAGGTGCGTTCTCCAAAGTTTCGTCCAAGCTTGAGTCCGGTTCACCCTCCGAACTATCTTCCAATTGACCGCTCAAACGCTGCGGATAAATTGTAATTGCCACTCTGGCCAAACCGAACCTCTCGTTCACTTGCTGACACGATGCATTGTTCTTTTCGTCGGTCGTAACTTTGCCTATGTTTATTGGCGTGTCCGTTTCAGTTTCCGCGTATGAAAACAGCATCTTCCGGAACTGAATCTCGTGCTTGGCCACAGAGTGAGGATGGCTCTTCACGGAAGAATGTATTTGTGCATCTGTCAGTTTCAAAATCATGTAATCCGTTCTTACTGATCGTTTCCACCACGGTGCCCGATTCATATCGTGCAGTGGTCGTAAATCTGGTATTGGAAACCTATTATCAAATTATTGACCATTTAAATGTGCAACGCTTCTCGTACGACATCTTTGAAACTTGCAATATTACCTTAGCTTTATCGTACATTGCGACGACGATACGTTTATAACAGCCGAGAAATCTGATAACGTCGGGCTCTCCACAGCTTGGTAAAACAATGTTTGTTGATTCTGAAAAAGTGTGCAACGAAACAACAGTTTGCATTACACTGCGCTATAATATTATACAATAATCTCTCGGAACTTACGATATTTTTGTTATTAGATACGGGATTGCAAACACATATAGGCTGCGGGTTAAGTAAAGCGCATATCCTATCTACAATAGTTATATCCACTTCACTTTTACACGGCTCCAATTCAATACTAAAAATATCATAAAAAAATTAATTTAAACAGCTAACGATTATTAGTCAATATAGATCAATATGTCTGAACTGACTCAATTTCTGTACAAGGATGCGTGTATTTCATTAATTGAGCATGTCTAGCACTATGAGCATCTTCAACATATTTGAACTTCATTTTAAAGTCTGTTTTATTGGTGAAACCAATATTTGTTGAGTTCTCTTTTGGAAAAGTAAGTAGCTCTACGTATTCTGCCGGCGGAGTGCCGTTTCCACTGGAACTGTTTGAATCAATTAAACATTCTACAATTTCAAAGCTGGCTAAAGTCAGTGTTCCAGATATTACAGAAGACAATGTAGTAGTCTTCTCCCTTCCTTCCATCACTAAAGGTGCAGCAAGTAATCTGTAAGTAATCAAAAGCGATCGATCAAGATTCTTAGATCTCTTTACATGTTTAACATGTTGACTGTCTGCACGCGCGCACACACCTAATATGACTCAATTGGCAAGCATTTAAGAGTAATTTCGATGCTTTATCGAAATCTTTGTTTCCATATCCGCCGGTTGCAAATAGTCCCAGCTGCTTAAAAAATTCGTCCGCTGAATTCTTCATTTGTTGTATACTAGAACATGTTAGACCACCGCCATTTACACACGTAGTCAATATATCTTCGTGTAATAGAATCACAGCTATGGAAGATACTCTCACATGAAAGTGAGATGTTTCTGCGGAAGGACCACTGTCCACGCTATGTCTCTGTTTCCGTTGCTTTGGTAAATTTGTAGCAGAACTTTTTAAGCTGATACTACTGGTCGATATACTTCCATCCATGCTAATGTTATTGCTTGTAACAGAATCGCTCATCGATGTAGATCCTGGTAATCGCATAGGTAGGAACTCATCTTCATTATCTGACTCGTCCAAAGATGCTGTTGACCAACCTTGCGTGTGTCTTAGATCCTATAATTTAATATTTATTGTTGGTTACTGACACAATTTAAAATTTCGCATTATGTATTAGTACCGTAGTACGTAATCCTTGTGTTGGATGTATTTGGTGAATAAGTTCTCGTTCCACGCGATTAAAATCACTAACAGCCATAGGTTTCTCGGTGCAATTTCTTGGTGCAACATTACTGACATCTTCCAAATCTGGAGATGCTAGACCGTGTCCTAGTTCCAATAAAACATGCATTTGTCGCGGACTCAGGAACGAGGTAAAAGATCCCAGTGTTACTTCTAAGGCTACCTGAAGTAATTAGTTCTCCTTTACTATGTGCCAGATGCGCTAAAATCTAGTAGCAGTGTACAAGACATTCGTTGTTTAATATTTTTCAATCCTTTAATCATTACCTTCGGCCCTGAAACACCTTCTCCTTGCTTCAACTTCAATCTTATTTCTTGTCTGCCTGCCAATTTAGCAAACATTATAGGATTCGATTCGTTTAGGTTATTAAGAATGTTCCCATCTGAAGGAGTCTGGGCATTCTGAGTGGGAGATATTTGTGCAGAAGAAAATTGGCCATCTGAATTCTGTAGCAAAAAGAAATTCCACAAAAACGTTTCTCTTGGTTTTTCTTTTCATTTATTTCGCGACTAATTCTCATAAAAAATATTACTTTAGAATCTGGTGTGGAACCCCTACTCGTTGTTATTATGCTTCTGGAGAAAGTTCTTGCACGAGATGGAAATTCATCTGTATAGAACATCACTCCCTCCAGGTAGAAGCGTTTTGTAGTAAACGCTGACACAATGTAGCCCTTTGTTGACTGGCTAGGATCTAATGAAGTGCTACTTGGGTCCAAACCTGCTTCATCTGAATATTCAAGATTTTTTATGCACATTTCTATTGCAACTCCTGTGGAAGAATCCAGAGGCACATGTTCCATACGTATTACAGTATCTATAAATCTCACTTTCACTCTGCATAAAACTGAAAAACATATAATCTTCATTAATATGAAACATTAATTCATTCCTACAGCCTGTATACTATATCCAAATTCTTACTAGAGTCTATTGTTTGTGCAAACAATTCTACTCCCTCCAATGGCTGAGAATTTCCAACATTATTAGCATCTTCTTGTAAGCATTCTTGTGCAAGCTGCATGCTGGATGTCATTGAGCTCCACATAGACTCGAACATTGATGCTCCACTTTCTGTTCTTTGTCTAGGTTGAACGGTTAATCTGAGACTGGTTACCTCTACATAAGTTGCTTCACTTAATAAAGCTGACCATGGTATGCTCACAGACATCTCGGCTACAAAACCATCAACAAATTCTAATGGAAGATTCTGTTGTTCTCCCATTTCATTGAGTGCCTATTGTAAAAGAAAGAAAAAGATCATTCTTCATTTTTAAACATAGCATTAATGAGAAGATTCTCTTTAATGTCCATCGATTAAGAAACACAAATTACACCAGCAATTTTTCTGTCCATATCATCTCCAAACGTAGGCTAACAAAGAGGAATGAAACAAAGGAAATGACAGTACCTGCACATCAAGGCTGACATTGGTTACACGACCAGTTCCATTGTAAAGATCAACAGTGAGCTGATCCAATGTCAGCTTTTCTTCTAAAAATTGACCGAGATATCGTTGCAGAAGATATCTACAGGCCCGTTTCTTTATCCCTTGGGACCAGGGAAAGCAGCCCAGCCAAGACATTGTGTCCTCGCGTTTGACAGTCTCTTAATCTAAGAAAGACATGGGATTTTCGAAGGTCTGCCTCCCGTCATACGTCTCGTATTAGGCCTGTTATTCGGGCACGGTGCATAAGAAACAACTTATCCACGTGAATTCCATCTTCCTAACACGTGTCCAGCCTGGTGCAATGATCGTTAACATAATACGACGATGATTCGGATGTAACGGGGTTCTAGCTGCGTAATGTTTTCCTTCGGATTTTCACTACCAACAGTACCAACACACGTACACACACATACACGCACGCACAGGCGGGCCTGACTATCGGACAAACACTGTGAAATAAAACGCTAGTGTCTCATTGACTGAAATCAGCTGACTTTGGAGAGAGACACAATGACGCTCGGATTTTTTCAATCTTCTTTCTGTTCTTCTGCATCAATGCGATCCCGTTCGCCGCTCTATCGTGCACGATATAACGATTCTGCTGCATTCGGTTATAAATTTATTCATTCCTATTTATCAGCGAGCTTTAGTCATTTTGCTCCTGTAACTAGCGGAATAGCACGAAAACTTACATCTACGAATCGAATGTATTATCATATCTCTCGTTACTCATCTTTCGTAATTTTGAGAGAAACTTATTCCGTTTCAATGTTGCTTTCCCGCATAGAATGTATTGCAATGTACGAGACGCATTTGCGATCATTTGTGATTCATTTTTACTACACATTCTTGTTTATTGGTTCTATATACAGGGTGTCCAGTAAATCGTAGTAGAATCGAGAATATGTTTCTATTTACGAGCAAAAATGAAAATAAACTATAGAGTAAAATTCATCTTCTAAATAGACATTTGTGTACTATTGAGTTCGTTTATCTGTCTATTATTAATTATTGTTATTTTTAGTAATGTTTTTAAATATTTTATCATAAACAGAATATGTTTAATCAGATTGATAAAGACAAATAAATAATACTATGATATCATAAACATTTAATATAAATGGTAAGTAGCGAATAATGGACAGACTCATTGATCAGTCATATTCGAAAATATATGTACGTGATGAATTTTCAAATTTCATTTGCTCATAAACAAAACTTCATATGCATAAATTTTATTCTATATTTTCAATTAGTTGTACCATGATTTACTCGACACCCTATATATATATATATATATTCGAACAGAAGGAAGTGCTAATGATTCATATCATCTTTCGAAACATTGCACATTTCCTGGTCATACAGAAAAATTAGTACGTAGTGAACGAGTGCATTTTCTGCATTATAATTTTGATAAATACCTGTGGACTAATTGTTTTATAACTTGCGAGTAAATATTTTATTACGATAAAAGGTTCTTGTTTCCTATGTGTAAGAAATCAATAATTTTATTTTCATAGTTGTTCCAAAAAATTCTGCTATGCAATTATGTTTAACGATTCAGTATTTTGATAATTTGTTTAAATGTTGAATGAGAGATGTTTTTCGAAAAGTTTACCAGACTGACTACATCAACGTTCAGATCAGTATCTGCCGTACGCATTTATTAATATGTTCAGATGCGTTGTGTTCGGCTGAAGTGTCATAAAAATTATCCAACGATTAGACATTAGAAATTAGAAGATCGTTTACACGGACAGTTTGTCAGTTGTGCAAACGCATCGTAAAGTACGAATTTTCTCTTGTTTTCAAGAAAATGGCTTTAACCAACATCTTGCTTCTGAGTCAGATATCCGGATACATTGTGGCTCTTATCCTATCACTCTGTATTATCATACCTGTGAGCTTGCATCAAGATGAATTTAGGTAGTCGCCGTATTAAATAACAGGATTAATATTCAGCATTGAAATGTACATTTGACATGTTATCGCTATAATTTTTTGTTTACAGAGGACATTGCCTATTATTTTCAAATGGAACATGGCAAGAATCAGATGGACAGTTTGTAGTAAACTGGGCTTCGCGTGCTTATTGTAATTATACCCTATTTGTTGGTTTGATGTTACTTTTAACATCTGCTGTACAAATCTACAGATTATCATTGTTAATGTACCGTGGAGAAGACAGCTCCTTTTTGTCTGCGTTCATAGATGTTGTTAGTTCTATAGTTCTCACAACAATAACATTGGTGGCTGCAATTATTGTTACCCTTGGGTTTATGACCTGGTGTCAAAATATGACAAAAAGATTTCCGTCATGTGAATTGGCAGCTGGAAATGATATTGACAAAGCTGATGGAATAGATACATCTGGTTTCCATATAGAATTAGGTGCTGCTCAATTTGGCACTTGGACCAGTTTATCTATTTGGGTTGGTTTATCTGTTTTTGCAGTCTTAAAATTGTTACGGTACCATCAGTTGGAAAATATGAAAGTTTCCATGTATAGAGAAAGGCAGAGATTGATAGAGGCTGCCAAAAGTAATGAGATACAAGAAATAAACTAGAAATGCAATGATGACACAAAGTGTTTGAAATACTTAACTCTCTTTATTGTACAGAATTCAATCATACTGAAACTTTCTTTGAAGAAATGTTTGTACTCTATGGAATTTTTTTTCCAAACGCACAGTTTCCAATTGATGTAATTGAATCAGTATATTATGACCTAAAATAACATTTCAAACTGTTAAAAGGAATGGATAGGTTTAATAGTTAACTGTAAGGTTTTTACAATATAAAACAATCTATTGAAACAAATTGTTTTCTGTTAAGAGTATAACTTGTTAATTAGTTTTTAAACTTTACACATATCAAGACTGGATAAAATTACTACTCACAGGCTTTACAGTTCTTTTTTCTGTAATTTTAGATCTTTATGTTAATTACCATTAATTTAACTAAGGAAAATGTTGAATCTAAAGTATTTTTATTGTATTATAATCTCTTTCACTTGTACATAGAATATCCGAGAACAGGAGAATTGTATAAAATAGTGTCGAATTGATATTTAGTCACTTTTAATGAAAAGAGTTGATTCTACAAATTTTATAAGTATACATGTATAATTATTAAATGTATATAAAGTGTGAAATTCACATTAGGAATTATATTATCTAAATATATTTTAAAATATATTTTGTAAATGTATGTAATATATGCTTATAATATATTGGAATCATAATTGCACATAAGAGTTTATTATGCTGAAAAGCATGCAAATAACAGTTCAGATTATGTCTCTACATATTCCGAGACTGTTTCTACGGGTTCCGGCAGGACACCGCCGTTTAGGTGCGTCAATTATTAAGAATGGTGCAACATTTGCTGGGACACATTCCAATTCGAAAGTAGTCTCATTTACTCCCAATACTCCTTCTGGACCACACGGACCACCTATGGTTCTTAGAGGATAACATACACCATTGTATTGTACTACACCATCTGTAAGGCATGGATTTTCCACACATCGTGGTACAGCCTCATTTTTAGGCAGTACTACATAATAATTCAATGGGCAGGGCCCTTGCATGTAGGCTTCATGACAGCTGTCGTTTGTAGGAAAATATAAAAATCTAGGTCTGCAATCGCATACACATGTAGTCCCATATCCAGGAAAAAGGAGCATATTTTCCGGACATTCACTTGGCGAGGATATTGGAATACGTTCTGTTATCTACAGGAATATGCTTATTGAATGACTCTTATTATTGCACAATGTAACTCATACTATTGCTTAATTATAATTACCACTCCACTGTTGCCACCAACATGAGACAATTCCTCATCATCTGGGAATACAATATCTTGACATAATATGATGTAATTGTATATTATGAATATAATACCAAAAACTAGCCACTTCATTTTATATATATTGTAGTACTCAACTCAGAATATAAAAATGTAAGAATTTATTTTTATGGAAAGTAGGTTATTTAAGCTTTAATTTAATTTAAATATAAGCTTGTATCATCAAGTGTTACTTTTCACTGAAGTTACAGAGAACTTTGCTTGATGTACTTTTCTTTCAATGACCTGATTTGACCCTGAGATTTCAAGGACAACCATAGTTCAATGAAATAAGAGTATTAAAATCAGTAACCAATCAGTACTTAGCATTTGCAGTGAATTGACGTTTTCCTCCCACTACCCATAAATGCACTCGTTTATTTCTTTAATCAGTATCTAACTATACAGAATGCAGATAATTTATTCAAAAATTTTTCTTACAAATGTAACTTCCATTTTATTTTAGACCATCAGTGCTATAATACAATATATTTTGCTGTACACTTAATATTCTTTTATTTTATTTGTAGTATTTACAAGCATGAACAAAACATTAATGGTTAGAATACTCATTAATTTATTGTTTACGAATATAAGAATTGTTAATGATTATAAAATCATTACATTACTATTGTATTATTCTCATAATCACAACCATCCTGTTATTCTTCTAAATAATTACTGAACCATAATTTAGTCTGATCTGCACTTGATGTGAATGCACTTGCTTCAAATTCTGGCCAAGATCTAAACTCCAAAAAAAGATCCTGTATCTGTTTAATATCCAAGTCATTGAACATAGTAAACACATTATAATCCTTAGCTATTAATCGCACACCACAACCTGGTATTACTCTTCTGAAAAGATTAATATATTATGCATTTAATAATATTGCCTTCATATTTTGGTATAATCTGAATGGAATTTTTAGCACATTATAGTTGTACAACTATACTCACTCCAATGTTGGTATTATTCGATTTGATGGTTTATAGAAATTCTGTCGAACAAAATGCCAGAAGTAGAACAAATCTTCTTTTCCATTGAGGACTACAGGAATTTCTTGTTTTGGTTCCATTTTGACTAGATACAGAAAGGAGATATCCTCAGTATCAATGTTGCACATCGTTTCTGGTTTCATAAGATCTTTTTTTGTCATGCTTCTGTTCCATGGTATAAATGCTTTTCTATCCAGTTTTCCAAAAACATGGTAATTGAATATAGTTTGGAACATAATGTAATTTGGTCTCACAGATGATAGATTCCGTTTTGTCATTTTCTAAAAATGAAATATTAAGAGTTATAAATATCATGTGTATAGAATAATAGACCATCTTATGATATAAATTAAACAATATATTTTTAAGAAGTATTAAAATTCTTATACTAACACTCCACATAGATGGTAGTATAGCAATATAAAAAGTTGGTCTTCCCTTTGACATTAAACATGTTCGAAACACTGTACTTAATATCAAATGGTTCACAAACATGGGCCTAGATGTGGAACCAACAAGTTGCATACAACTTTCTTTGTTCCATTCGTTTCGTTGCACATTTATTAGTAAATCGTCTGTATCATCATAGCCGTAAGAACGATAATTTACATGCATTGTCTTTGATAGATGGAAAAGATTTCCTTTATTTAAACTAAATCGGTCAGGATATTTATCATATAGCTTATTTAGTGTATCAAAAAATTCAACTTGTCCCTCATACAAATGTACATATGGAACACCAATTTTGAGTAATTCTTCTGTTAATAAACCCATACCTGGGTTTAATTCTATTACATGAGATGCATTTTTCAACAGATCATCTTTGATTAATGAAGTAAATTGCTGAGCTGTTTCTGCATTTATAAGGTATAAGTCTGTTGCTTTTCCATCAATAGTTACATATTGCTGTGGAATATTTTGTTCTAGGTTTGCATTAAAGGTTTTTATATACTCCAGAATCTTTGTTTGTCTTTTATTATATTTCTTTGGTTTTGAGGAACATTTTGACTGCAGAAATCTTGATACTGAATTAAACTTCCCTACCATGTAGGAAATAACACTCTTACAGGATTGTTGTTGTGGCCATATAAAATTACATGTTAATAGTGTCCCATTTCGTCGTATCATCTTTAATTTTCTGTCATCTATTTCTTTTTATTGAAAGTGCAATGTAATAAACATATCGAAAAATAGACTTAAGGTTAGTTTAGTACACTTTTTTCATAAGAAATTTAACAAATGTATTTAAACAAATTTGTGTATGTAATTAAGTAGTATTTCACGTGTGCTGTATTATATAAAGAGCGGTCGTTAATCTTTTATGTTTTTCAATTAGTCACAATTCTACATATTTATATATGGATAATATATATACATAAGTACACCGTACACAATGCCTTGAATAGAACATAATACGATATATTTATGTACATTGTAGAATTGAAGAGATTGATACTGTTTCCAAAATATTACGTTTTTTTATTTTTCTACGATAGAAAAATGTTCAGTGGACATACAATATGCCGTCTAAATGAATAGTTATATGTATATATACATCTTCATAATAAAATGTGGGAGTCACACACGTTATAACTTTGTTATAACATAATCTATTTATCGACCAGTTTATATAGTATTCTAATATTACGATTTTGTAAGTATTCTTCCTAAATATATATTTTCTTTACTGGTAGAATTCTTTAGCAGAAAAAGTGTTATTTTTATAAATAATTGTTCAAATTAACGACGTGTATTACGGTTGGTCATGGTCATTTAATAGTGTTATGATTCTGTGATGACAAAAATATATATGTAGGATATGTGTATATATACATATACAAGTATGTTAAAGAATTATTTCAGTGTAAATTTTTGATAGTTTCGTATGAAATAAGTAAAATGAAGAAAAAAGTATTTAACGGATTGTTGTTTGACTTTCGCGACGCTTACAATTTTTATCGACACGAATTTCATGTTTTTTTAAACAGCTGTATGAATAGTATGAATAGTAATTAATGAAAATAAAAAATTTATCCATTATCGTACGTTTATAACATCTGTAATTACATTATCTATAATGACACAAAATATTTGTGAAAAAAGTTTCAAATTTCTACTTATTATAACAGTAGATTAACAAGTTAATAATATGAACATTTGAAAAAACCTATTACAAAATTCTGGAACTTTCCTGTGTTACTTAATACAACCTTGAGAAATAGTGGTGCTTTCTAAGTCTTCTTATTACAATGTTTTTGTAGCTTGATTCAGAGCAGTTATATGTACAACATATTGAAAGTGTTGTTAATAAAAGATTAGTGCCGATATCTGTTATTATTAACAGAAAAGTTTTTGAAATGGCTCAGAGTGCTTCCTTGTTATCACGCATAGTGGCTTCTTCTATATCTGCTACTGTGCGAGCTGGTAAAATTATAAGAGATGTTATGAGTCAAGGAGCTCTAAATATAGTAGAGAAGGGCAAAAATGATTTACAAACTGAAGCTGATCGTTGTGCACAAAGGTGTATTATTGCTTCATTAAGCTCTCAATTTCCAAATATCACTATTATTGGTGAGGAAGAATCATCTAACTGTGATATACCATCTGATTGGGTTGTGACAGAAGTGGATGAAGAAGTACTAAAATTAAAATTACCATCAAATCTGGAAAACATTGATCCTAAAGACATATGTGTTTGGGTCGATCCATTAGATGGTATGTATACAATTCAATTAACATTATTCAAGCACAGAAATACTGTGTTTATTATATATGTATAGACATATGATGAAATTATAATATTTCAGGAACATCAGAATATACACAGGGACTTGTAGAACATGTTACAGTTTTAGTGGGAGTGGCAATTGGAAAAAGAGCAGTTGGAGGTGTGATTCATCAACCATATTATAAAAATACTGATAATGATGTTGTAGGACGTACTATTTGGGGTATTAATGGTGTAGGATTTGGGGGATTCTCGCCAATTGCACCTGTAGATAGAAAGAAAATAATTACAACTACACGGTACGATTCAGTTTTATGATCATTAAAGTTATAATCCTGTTAGTTTTAAACATTTTTGGTTTACATATAGATAGTAATGTTCAGTCAATTATAAATGTTTTACATACCGAGGAAGTTTTAATTAATAAAATTCACTACACATTTTCAGTTCACATTCAGATAGTAACGTTCAGGCAGCTATAAATGCTTTACATCCTGATGAAGTTTTACGTGTTGGAGGTGCAGGATACAAAGTAATGTTACTTATATAATTAATGAAGAGACATTTATTTGTATGGCGTATTTAATATTTTTACTTTGTCACAGGTAATACTGTTAATGGAGGGAAAGGCTCATGCGTATGTATTTGCTAGTAAAGGCTGCAAGAGATGGGACACCTGTGCACCTGAGGCTATTCTTCATGCTATTGGTGGTACACTAACTGATTTTCGTGGAGAATATTATTCGTATGATGCGAAAACATCACACCCGAACGTACGAGGCGTGTTAGCTACTGCTCCTGGTGAGAATCATCAATGGTACTTGAGTCAGATACCACAAGAAGTAAAAGATAAATTAAAACAGTAATGTATATAATTTGTTTTTCTTTGTAAAAATTTATGCGCTTGTGACTTATGAGCAATATAAAGTATTCCAGATACCGAATTAAAGTAAAAAAATTCTGGAATTACATTTTAAGAAGTTTTAAGCTCTAGATGGTTGGGGAAAAAAATTTGAACTGTGTCTTATGTCTCAATGTTTTAAAATAAATATAAAAATAAGGCAAGGGTAGGTTCGATGTCGTATTGTTTCCTTCTAGTACCGGCATTTTATAATTTTGATTTAAACGTGTCGCGTAATACTCTGCGCAATATCTTCCCCGATGCAGTTTTAGGAATACTTTGAATGAATCTGATGCCGCCTCGAAGTCTTTTATGACTCGACAAACGTTCTGTAACAGTTTTTATTAGTAGGGAATACATTCATATGATGTCAAACACTTACCATTTACAAACTTAGTAATGTCTTCTGCTGTTATGTTGGATCCATCCTGTTTGACAATAAAGGCAGCTGGTAATTCGCCAGCTTCTTCATTTGGTATCCCAATAACTGCTGCATCTTTAACTCCAGAGCATGTTAGCAGTAATGCTTCCAATTCAGCTGGTGGAACTTGATATCCTTTGTACTTAATAAGTTCTTTTAAACGATCCACTACATAGAAATAACACTGTTCATCGTAATATCCTATATCCCCTGAATGCAACCAGCCATCTTTATCAATTGTAGCTGCTGTAGCTTTTTCATCATTATAATATCCTTTCATAATTAAATCTCCTTTGAAACATAGTTCTCCCATTTTGTTTGGCCCCAGAGGTTCGCTTGATTCACCTCCATTTATTGGTATTACTTTTGCTAAACAGAAAAGACAATGTTAAAAAAGTATTAAGGAACAAAGATATTGACTGTATCACCTGAAGTTCCTGGGGCTAATGTCCCTACGCTTCCATATTTCATACTATTATTTGGCAATTTAACTACAGCCAAAGTGGTTTCCGTTAATCCATACCCTTGTTTTATACTCCTTACATTCAGTCTTTCGGCAACCATTTTTGCAATATCTTCTGATAAGTGTGCCGCACCACACCTGATTGTGGAGAAATATTGATGAACGATTGTACTTTAATAGTGAAATGTATTGAGTCAAACCAACGTCTTACCAAATATCCTTAATACTAGATAAATCGTACTTGTCCACAATAGGATGTTTTGCTAGGAACACCATAAGCGGTGGTACAAGAGTTATATACTCAATTCTATACTTTTCAATAGTTTGTAGAAACATTTTTTCATCGAAACGTGGTAAGATGATACTCTTATTTCCAAATGCAAGTCTTACAAGAAGCACAGAGAAAGAATATGCATGGAAGAATGGTAATAAAGCTAAAGTTATTACATTAGTATTTAATATCTCAGGTGTTGAAACTGCAAAGTGCCTTATCACTGTTAACAAATTTTTGTTTGTTAACATTACTCCTTTTGGCAAGCCTGTTGTACCACTGGAATATGGAATAACTAATACATGATCATCATCAACAGCGCAGGCATGGAAGCTACTATCAACAGTTACATTTGATGTTAAGCTCTTGATAGTTGGAAACTTATTAACTTTTGATTCTGTTAACATTATCAACTTTGGCAACCAGAATAACTGATTGTGGTTTTTGAGTATGTTAACTATCCCAACTGCAGATACAAAAATGTATTTTGGTTTTGTAATAGTTAATGCATGTTTCAGTTCTCTTTCCGAATAAAGTGGATTCAATGGACAAACAGTAGCCCCTAGATAAAACGCTGCACACATTGGTATACAAAATTCTATATTGTTCTCACTACATATAGCTATATGATCATTTTTCTTTAAGCCTTCTTTCTCAAGAGCAACAGCTAGCTTTTGACTGTCAATCAGAATTTCTTTAAATGTTTGTTTTCTTCCTGTGAGAGCATCTACCTAGAAATATTTTTAATGTTTAGAAATATTAAAAGTACTTCATTCGTGTATACCATAAAGAAAATATTTCAATTATTTACCTGTGCAACCCAATTACCATGAACACTTAATTGGTTCAAAAGTAATTGTCCCATGGATAAATTTTTGAATTGCGGAATAGTATCGGGTGGACCATGTAGAATATTTTTCTGTTGCATTTTGAATATAGATTATTCTGTAATTCACTGAAAAGAAATGATTTTTTTTAGTGTCATTATACAAAATTTTGTAAGTAATTGAACCTTATTCAGTAGGCTGTTAATATCAATTATTCGTGAACGAACAAATAAGACATTAAATTAATGATTACTTTAACTGAAGCTAGTTATTAATTATAAAGGCTAGGCGTTGTGATTTCATGTTTCACCGTTGATTTTCTTTTATTTTTAGTGAAATTATCGGTAAGGAATAACAATGGGTAATTAATATCTTAAAAAGTAACGTACCGTATCAATTTACACTTAATTATGGATACGTTGTAATAATACACGCCTACTGTCTACAGACCGGTAAATTAATAGAGGGAGTATTTAATGTATATAGTAAGCAAAATAACCCATTTCATTCCATCATTATACATACTACAGTTCTCATAAAAATTAATAGAAAATATATTATTGTTCAATTCATGGATAATATTACGTTTGCTTCAATATTATATTAAAATAATTTATCTTTTTTGTTTTACGATTATGAAGTGTCAATTCCAGTCAATTCATTGATACGCCAAGAGTGGCAGCACTGCGTGAGACATTTTGTATTTACATACATACCAATGTATACGCATACTTACATACAATTCCGTCAGAGTTTGTATGTGGTTCTACGTTCTACGTTATAGGTTAAATATGAGTAAACGGTGAAAACAGTTTGTACTCGTTCGATTTACGAAAATTTTTGAGAAACGATTAAGTGTATAAATAAAAACTGCATCGAAAGAGGAAGACGAAGAGTGAGAGATGGGTGTTCCAGCATTTTTTCGGTGGTTGAGTAGAAAGTATCCATCCGTGATTGTGGAATGCATCGAGCAAAAGGTAGGTTAGATAGTTTACGTTGACGATGAACGATTTATTTACTTTACGAAAAAGAACGCTCATCTAAGGTAAAACGTGTAACTCTTTCACAATTTTTGTAATTTCCTTCGTGTAACAGTTTTAACTGCTTGTGAACTGATTTTTATATGCTTTTGAACGTGTTTATTGACAACTTTATTTACGCTAGCATTCTATACAAAATCGTGGTAATGGCATCACAAATTGCCATAAATACATTGTACACGTCTTCCAGCTTATTATAATAATAGATTACGAAATAATGTTATTCTTGATTGGTATTTGCAGGGTTATCTGAGTACTTTCATACTTGATATTAATAAATGAATATAAAATATTTAAGGTGTATTTTTTTATATAAAAGTATTGAATTGCAAAATAGCTGAATTCTTATAGGTTCATAAAAGAAGGTTCAGAAAGGTATACGGAATATATGTTTTCCATTATTTTTATTACTGCACACTAATGCAAAAACATTGTAAGAGTGTTTCATACTTTTTATACAATATCTGTTATCATACTTCAAAACATATTGAATCTAACATAGGTGATGTCTTGCAAGCATATAGTGTGTTAAATGATCTAATGCTCAGTTTAGAAACAAATATATGACTGTTTTATCCAAATTTAAATTTATATGGATTTGAATTATATATTTGTTGTGTTTCTATAGCCGATTACTACTAATGGTGTTAGAGTACCTGTGAATGCAGCTGACCCAAATCCAAATGGAGTGGAATTTGATAACTTATACCTTGACATGAATGGTATTATCCATCCATGTACTCATCCAGAGGATAAGTAAATATTCATTGAATTAACGATTTGAAATAGCTAAACACTTGAAAGGATCTTACACAATGAGTGATATTATTGCAGACCAGCACCAAAAGATGAAGATGAAATGATGGAAGCCATTTTCGAATGCATTGACCGGCTGTTTCGTATTGTGAGACCTAGGAAGTTACTTTATATGGCCATTGACGGAGTTGTAAGTACTTCTTTTTATAACAGAGACAAGCAATTGGTGGTTGTAATATATATGATTGTACATTTAATTAATATGTGTAGGCACCTAGAGCCAAAATGAATCAACAAAGATCACGAAGATTTAGAGCGTCGAAGGAAACAACTGAGAAAATTAACGAAATCAAACGAATACGTTCTGAGTTGGCAGACAAGGGTGCAAACTTACCACCAGAGAAACCAAAAGAAGACCATTTTGATAGTAATTGCATCACACCGGTTTGTAGGATTTGTTTATTTCATACGGAAACATTAGAGGTAACACTTTTCTCAATTAATTTATTGATTACAGGGTACACCCTTCATGGCAAGATTGTCGAAATGTTTGCATTATTACATACACGATCGTTTAAATAATGATCCAGGTTGGAGAAATATAAAAGTAATTCTAAGTGATGCAAATGTACCAGGTGAAGGGGAGCATAAGATAATGGATTTTATACGCAAACAAAGAGGTAAGTAACTCAATAGTTACGTTGCTAAGTTATCATAAACAATTTAATAAATTGTCTTTTTATGTAACAGCACAACCCGATCACGATCCAAACACACAACACGTTCTCTGCGGAGCAGACGCGGATTTAATTATGTTGGGGCTCGCCACGCATGAACCGAATTTCACAATTATTCGTGAAGAATTCAAACCCAATAAACCGAGGCCGTGTGACATATGCGGTCAGTTAGGTCACGAAATGAAAGAATGTACGGGTTCGGAGCCGAATGAGAAAGAGGAAGAGAATGCTTTCGGATCCGAGTGTCAGTTCATATTTGTGCGGTTAAATGTACTCAGAGAATACTTAGAAAGAGAGTTGCAAATGCCTAATCTACCGTTTAAGTACGATTTCGAACGAGCTATTGATGATTGGGTGTTCATGTGTTTCTTCGTAGGAAATGATTTTTTACCTCACCTCCCATCGTTGGAGATTAGAGAAGGGGCTATTGATAGGCTCGTTAATTTGTATAAAAAAACAGTATACAAAACAGGAGTAAGTAACATTTTTCTGATGTAATGATATTGTCGATGAACCGTTCTTATTAAATTGGGATGTTGTTAATAACCAGAATTTGTTGATTGAAGGGATTCTTGACAGATAGCGGAGATGTAAATTTAGATAGAGTCCAGCTGATAATGTCCGACCTCGGGGATGTTGAAGACGAAATTTTTAAAAAGAGACAACAGAATGAAATAGCATTTAAACAGCGTGAAAAGGTCAAGAAAGCTAGATTACAGGCAATCAGTAATTATAAACCGAAGTGGATACCTACTGGACAGTTTGCACCTACGGTACATTTTATTATTGATAATTATGGCTTTTGCGATATTATTGATGTTTAATTTCGTACTTTTTACTACAGCCCTTAGGTGAAAAAGTTAAGCCAGTGGAAAATGCACGTTACGAAGCGTATCAAATGCGTGTTCAAGGTAGAAACTATAGCACTGCTAGTGATGCAAGAGAAAAAACTAATGAAGCTCTGGAGAGTATGATACGCCCAGAGGTATGATAACCATGTATTTACGTCTCTATTTATCGATGTTTCTGTACGTTACTTACTTACATTGTACATGTTGCAGAAATCTTCTGGCGAACAGAGGAAACGTAAGGTCGAGGAAGTTGACATTTCGGACGATGATCAAGCGCACGACGAAGTGAGACTCTGGGAGGACGGTTTTAAAGATCGTTATTACGAATCGAAGTTTGATGTTTCTTCTGATAATCTGCAGTTTAGGTAATAATATCGATGTGCATCATAATGGATATATATACGTCAACTGCGTGGGCAAATAATATCTTTCGTTTTGTTTACACAGAAATAACGTAGCTCTGCAATACGTGCGTGGTTTGTGTTGGGTTTTACGGTATTATTATCAAGGTTGTGCGTCATGGAAATGGTACTTTCCTTATCATTACGCTCCGTTTGCTAGTGATTTCATTAACATTGGTGGTCTGTCGACAGAATTTGAAAAAGGAACAATACCGGTAAGTCTACGTAATGAGCGTTAGTTCATAATTAGTTGACGATGGAATAAAATGTCAATCCTTTTACTGTTATTCTTGCAGTTCCGGCCACTAGAACAATTGATGGGCGTGTTCCCAGCAGCCAGTAGTAAGCACGTTCCTGCCCCTTGGGCAAAGTTAATGAGTGATCCTGTAAGTTCAAGGAACTATTATGGGCGGTATATAGAGTTAAACATATATCGAGGTACTTAATTAATGTCCACATAATTATTTGTAGAGGTCAACGATTATAGATTTCTATCCAGAAGACTTTAAGATTGACTTGAACGGTAAAAAGTTTGCTTGGCAAGGAGTGGCTTTGCTTCCGTTCGTGGACGAGGGCAGATTGTTCAAGGCTTTGGAGCCGTACTATGAATGCCTAACAGAAGCAGAAAGTACGAAATATTGATTTCATAAATTTATTTAACGGATTCGCGTTGGCTTTTAATTTCTGAAGCACTCACGTTTTTATAATTACTATTTTCCAGAGAAACGAAATGTTAGGGGCGACGACCGGTTATATGTTGGACTGGGCAACAGCAATTATAATTTTACAAAAGGACTGTACGAGAACAATGTTGGATTTGACGTAGAAACGCCTATATGCATCGATGGAATGCGCGGAACGGTGTTAGTAGCTGAGGATTGCGTTGGAGATGGCGCCACTTTGCCCTCTCCTATAAACGGACTTCCCGTTAGAAATAACAAAGTCTACTGGTATGCTAAGCTGATTTTTTCCTTCAATTTTGTAACTGTGACACGATTTATATCCGATTTTCGTTTTTACGACAGTGTACGATTCAGAGATCCAAAGTACGGTAGCAATTACATATTCCCCGCGAGAAAGCTGAAAGGTGCCAGAGAACCACCGAAAGTCTTGAAGCCACAAGACTTTGAACAAATGAACCGTAACACCGGTAACAACTGGAAACCACAGATCGGTTTCACCCCTGCCACCCAGACTGCATCCGTGACCGATGCGGGTCGAAGAATGCTTGGGTAAGTTGCAATGACATAACTATTAAAGTATACATAGAGATTTCTCTAACACTCTTATTGTAGCACATTAAATCTTTCTATTTACAGGCATTTCACAAATCATAATAGAGTGCCACCCCCGTACGGCCCCCTGTCGGTACAACAAACTCCCTACTCAGAATCGGCGCACGGTGAGTGACTGCATGCGTTTTTCATTTGAATGAATTTTTATTAAACGAAAAAAAAAGTAATCGAAATTACAAAAGGGTCAGGGGTTTCGATTAGTTCCGGCATTTGTAAACACATGGGCATGACTACACTGATCCGTAGTATTCTATTTGTGCAAATATTTTTAAACAAAACGTTTACCATTAAAACTATTCTCTTAGATATATATTTGATATTTTCGTAACTGACTTTGAACCGATCCATGCATCGTTGGGCAAGGGTTAAATAGGAAAGAAATTCCGTTTTTGAATTCGAGTCACGACCCTCGATGTTCCAAACAATACCGTGGTTTACGAGAATCAAATTAAGAGCGCACGCGGCGATTCTTTTAGGATTACCGACGGCACAGAGAAAAATTACGCAGGGGCGTTCATTGTTTTCCCCTGCTCCGATGGAGGTCGCGCGCCCACCGTCCCACCCCCGTCGTTTGGCGTGCGTACTTCTTTCGTGTTTCGCTCGTCGATCACCCGAAGGCGTCTTACGAGAGGCTCTTCAGTTTATCGATTCCACGCGTTACAACCCATTCTTACATCCGACTCACCCCTTTTCTTTAGTATAACAATACAAATGATATCGAGGTTTAACCCATTGAACCGAGGACATATAGAACGCTCTACAAACCTTTGTACATACAGTCTATAATTGTCAGGAGGAATTTCTCTGTTGAACATAATTTTATCTCATACATCTGTGACCTCCTGTCTCCTAAACTCAACGAACCGTCTCACGAGCCCCAGGTATTCGTACCAATACTTTTAAGTTTTAACTAACGAGATGACTTTCCGTTCGCCACGTCGCTCGGTTCACATGCGTCGTCCCACGTTCTTGGGTCTAATCAGGTTCTATTCCTTTCTCTCTCGGTCATGCGGAACGAACGTCGAAGCGCTCTTTCGATATAATAAATGCACCAGAAACCATACATTATTCACGCGTCAATTGATGCTTTCACGGTCTCGGTACAACTCTGTGTGTTACAATTTGACAGCGGAAGAAATTTCAGATTGCTTGAACTCCACAGACCCTTCACTTTCGAGGTTCAAGTTTCGGCCGCTAGGCGTCACAGCCTGTGATCGCTAACCATACACTATACACCAAAGAAATTGATTTCATTGTCTATAAGTTTTCCATAGGGGTGAAAGAGAGAGAGTGAGAGGGAAAAATGGGCATGGATTGATGAGGGGGCACGGAGGGATAGTTGGATTTCGTACGGGGGGTCAGATGCGGTGGTGTGATGGGTGGTCGAAGGGGGTAGAAACGAGCAGCCAGGGAAGGGGGGGGGTGCAAAAGCCGAGGGGTTGCCTCGGTCTCTGGATTAGCTGCGAGGGTAGTTCATCACGTAGAGCGTGACTCCGGCCGTTTCGTTGTTTGCTGGCACGTCGAGGTACCAACGGTTCCACGGGTTTCGCCCAATTATAAAACAAACACGGTGCACTCCGTAATTATCCAATTAGCGGATGTTCCGCCTTCACCGGAGGGGGGCGCCTCCTTCCTCACTCCCGTTCCCCCTTTCACGTATGGTCTGTCCTCCTCACGCACGATCTCCGACGTGTCGTCTGGCTGAATCACAAAGGCGAAACGGCGCGACCTATCGCTTTGTGTGCCCCCGGCCGATTCGTTATCGTTGTCGTCACCTCGCTGCTATGCGTTGTTTTCCCTCGTTTGTCTCCCCCCGCCCTCCTGCAGGCGTCGAACCGGGCGGGATCGCCTTGGACGCGCGACCGTAGGAGGGAGATCGAGGCGCCTTCTGGTTTCTGGCGGATGAATTACGATCCGTGTCGGACTTGACACTGTTCTGACTGCTGACCCGAGACAGGGGGGGCGTGACTGGTGTCCACCACGCGAAGAAACCCGGCAGGATTCGAGACGCGTGGCCGTAAAAACAAAACGTCGTTACGCGTGGAACGTGGTGTGTCTGTGGGATTGATTTACCGTAGGGAGAACGAACGTCAGAAGCACTCACACACACGTATACAGGGTGTTTCATAAATTTTCAAGTTATGGAAGATTAACCCCTTGCCTTATAACATCGAGTCAGACACGTGATGACGATTTCAAACTGGATTTAATAAACATGTATACCATTCATTTTCTTTGAGTCGAAGTGAAATTCTGTTTCATTCCTATTAATATTTAAGATTTAGAGTAAATAATACACTTGCCTTAAGAATAAAATTCCTTTTGTATCGAGGAAATTATTAACGATAAAGTAATGCTTAAAAGTACGGCCGTAAAAAAAATCGTAAGGCAAGGGGTTAAGAACGTGTTCGAAGTGCCTGCTTTGGATTTTCGACACGCGCTACTGTATGTCTCTTGGTAGATATCTCAGATAAAACTTTGAGCAGTTAGTACGTTATTTTCGCGAGTTCCGTTACGTTCTAAAATTGACAAAATGGTTACATATGTACACATCTAGACCCCCTATCTGCGATTACTCTTGAACACATCAACTGATTATCAAACGCACTAGACCTAACCGAGATCGGGGTCTATAACCAAAATCGCCATTAGAGGGCATCATCCCCTGTCGATCTCTCCGGTACAGGAGGCCAAACACACAGGGTTATAGAGCAAACCTAAACCCTTCTCCTGCCAGTCGGCCGGTGAGTTTAGCAAGCAAAACGCTCCTTCGGACCGAAGGGTTGAAGCGTGGAGGATGAGGAGGCGGAGGAATAGGAGGTTACGGGGGAACAAGGGGGGTGGGTTTGGCCTACGTCCGTTCGTATCTTCGTCCAGATGACAGGTGCAGGAGGCCCCTCGTTAGACAAATTAAGCTTCGTTCCCTGGCCTCTCGCCTCGACGTTGCCACCGCCGCTGATGTCTCTCTCTCCACGGCTTTGTCCATCCCCCGGTCTCGTCGTCTATCTCTCTCTCTTGCCCGTGGAGCTCGTTCGAGACTGGTTTCGAGTGGACTGCAAACACTCGTGGCAGCGGCAGCAACGCGCCCGTCCGTCGGAGGCTCGGGAATCGCGGCAGAAACCGGGATGGACGGGTAGGGGGACAAGACGGGGAACGAACCTTCCTCGTCGGGCGTCCCGTGATAAACCGTAGCTACCAGCTACCAGCTACCGGCTACCAGCGATACCGAGAGATCTCCTACGTACGAGGTTGGACAGCTTCTCTGGATCCACGGGTGTCCGCGAATCGGCGGACGCTAGTAGCGTGAGAACTCTTCTCGTCTTTTCGTGCTCGGGGCGAGATGGAAACAAGGAACGGAATCGTTCGTGGTCCAATGAACCGGAACGCCCGATCACGGTGATTTCTGACGGATATGGCCTTTGGCTGTTTAAGCCCTTGCAACCTTGCTGGTTAGTGTTTCTCGGTAGGGGACACGCGTGGAAACATTTACATTTTTATTACAGTTTTTTAACATTACTGCTTGGCACATCTCGAATGAGCAGGAGAGGTCTTTCGAACCCTGACCACTGCCCTGGTACTTTCTGTAACACGTGGGCGATAGAATTTGTTATACATCGGGTTACATAATGAAGTGCGTATCCACTTTTTGCGTATGAAATGTTCGTGGATTGGTCAGCAATCGACTTGATTAGCCTGCAGTCGATTGATAGACCGTTCTTACTCGGAATAAAAAAAGGATGTTTCTTGATCGACTGAAGGTGTGCGCCCAGAGAGCGAATAGTTTCTCTAAACACAAGGTGTCATTCGTGCACGATCTGATATTCCCCTCGGAGACATTCCAACGAAGAACAAGGGAACGAGCGCGAGAGAACGTTCAAAACGTGCCCTGGTCTCTGTTAGAGGATCATGGAAGACACGATCTAACCGCGGTAGAAGCGGACGGATTCCGATAATAAAAATTTTTTTTTCTCTGGTCTGGTGGTGGACGCTTTGAAGTTCCAAGGGAGAAGAGGGGCAGGGGTCTAAAAGGGATCCACCGGAGGGCGCATCGAGCGTCTGAAGAGATCGCGAGGACAAGTTCACCTATGCTCTCGAAGATGAATGGATCCTATAGATTAATGGGAAGAGAGAGGCTGTATCGCAGGTAGACATACGCGGGATGAATAGGCGAGGGTGAACGAGCATTTAAAGAAGAGCGCCTCTGTCCGTTCCTCTGTCTCTGCCCTCCCCCCAACCCGCCGTGCCTTTGTTCTCATTCGTCTTCTACGGGATCGAAGGTTTTTCCATGAAAAACACGTGTCCTCGTTACCCGTTCCGAGTGTAATTACCGCCGAGCGATTGTCGTTCAGTCGTTTCCGTACGGTCACGTATCCATTCGTCATCGACTACTTACCGTCGTCTACTACACGGTTCATCCTCGACTGGTTTGTATGCCGTCAGTTTATTTTCGATTCTCGGTTACTTTTCATCACTCACGACTCTTGATCGTCGATTATGTGGGATCGGGAACTCCATACCCAACAAAAAGGAGCAAAATAACATCTTGGGAAAATAGGAGGGTTCCGTGGAGTAGTGGGTAGAGTCTCTGCTTTCGGCGCCGGGGGTCGTGAGTTCGAATCCCGCTTGGGCCCTCTCATTTTTCCAACGCTCCTACAATTACGTTTTGCTATCAATAACTTAGGATCGTTTACTTATTTCTTGTCATTCGACTACTTTTCGTCGTGCAACTAGTTCTCGTCATCCGACTACTTTTGAGTATCGACTAATTCTTGCCATATCAACTTATTTCGATCCTTGACTTTTCTTGTTATTGACCACTTTCGATCGTCGACTACTTTTCGTCACAATCCCACCGCTACTTTCTCGTCGTCTTCGACTACTTTACCGTCACCGTCGACCACTTTTCATCGTTGGCTACTTTTCCCCGTCATCGGAAAGTCGAATTATCCCAACGTTGAACGGGGACTGTCTCTCCCTTTTTGTTCCCAACTCGAGGGAGAGCCAACGAGGAAGAAGATCGACAGGATAGAGAAGAAAGGTCCCCGTTTCGCGTGCCAGACCGTCAGGAACCTTCTTCTTTCGGGTGGCGTCCACGGACCCGTGGCGA